TGGGAGGATGTAAATTGGACTATAATCTCAATCTGACAGATACAGAGTGGGGCTTTGTCCTTGGTACTTGCACAGGCCTATGCATTTTTAGCATAGTAACCTCTCATCGTAGTTGCCGGGATTCGAACCCGGGACCTAACCCTTGTGACACTCCCTTGCTACCAGTTGAGCTACGCCCACCGGTAGTTTTCCTCATCTAGAGCACATGGTGGGGCGTGGGAGCATTCAGATTCGGAGGATCTTGGCGAATCTCCATTGCAGCTTAGGGGAGATGATAGGGATCTGGAGAATGTTCGCATTTGGACTGGTTGTGCTCGTGCGGTATGTTGGCCAAGGAATGGAGGCGACTCACTGGCAGATCAGGGTGTTGAAGGAAGAAGATGAAGGGATGAATATCTGCCCCCTCCTGAACCGTCGCCATGCTGGAAATGGGTGATTAGGGGTCGGAACACCGCGCTGGAAGATTGGAATCAACAGCTCAATAAGTTCATCATGCTTAAATTCGTTGTTCCCAGTTTTAGTATGTTTACTAAGAAAGTAGTTGCTATCATTTTGTTTTTGGTATTTGCTTATGGTAATAGGTTTTTTACGCTGACCGAGGGTTCGGCTAAATTTGATATTGTTAGTGGGGGACGAATCTATTTGTTCAGCAATAGCTGCATTAAGCCCGTCAGGTGGTTAGCGATTTGTATTGCTCCTTTAGAGGTGGTCGTCTCTATGTCAAATCGTAGGGCTAAAAGTAGCAGTTGGAAAGCGAGAGTTGTTGTCAGTTCTGGTCATTTTGAGATAGTTGTAATGATCCTGATTCTAATGATATCAATATAGTCGTTTTCCTTTCAAAAAAATATGTATGAACAAGCTATTTTTACGTGGAAATCCGAAAAGGGAGAAAACCACGGGATTTTTTAGGCTAATGTTCAAGCCCTCTCGTTCCCCTTAAGCTCTCCTCGCCATTTACATAGTACAAGTATCAAGCTCCCTTTAATGGAAGTTGCAAACTAGCTAATCTATTCTAGAGAGGAGGAGGAAGTGGGGATCGGAAGAAGAAACCAACCCTTAACATGGAGGGAAAGCCTCCTATTTATAGGAAATGGGGGTGGGGAAATAGTCTACCCTAATGGGCCAAGTGGGCCAAAATGGTCGAACCATGCCCGATAGGCTGAAAGGGGCCTCGTCATTCAGGCTGCGTACCGGGGTGAGGCCTTGGGATTCTAAACAGTAACAGACTGGGATAATATACCTCAACACAAGTCCCCCAGTTTCTTGAGTAGTGAGCGAGCGAATCTGCTCGAGAAAGTTATTCTTGCCCATGTCTTCCTTTGTCTTCCTTGAATCTTTGTCTTCGAGTGGTCTTACTTCACGGGTGGATGTCTGGCCCTCTGTACATAATCTGTCGGTAAGGTGTTGCCCCTCCCAACTGGATCAGGCAAGGGATCCTAGTGTATAAGATGGTGGTCCCCATCCTGGAAGGAATGGGCAAGCCCGACCGTGAAGAAGACATGATGGCGCTGAGGGGTCGATCGTGCTGCATAAGACGGTGGTCCTAATCCTGGAAGGAATGGGTGAGCCTGACCATGAACTGGATACGATGGTGTTGAGGGGCCGATCGTATGGCAAGGCGGTGATGATCGTCTCACGGTCCTCGACCGTGCTGGTGATCTACAGGCTCTCGGCTTGTTGATGAATGATAATCGTCTCTCGGCCCTCGGCCTGTTGTGAGTCTACAGGCCCTCGGCATGTCGGTGAATGATAATCGTCTCACAGCCCTCGGCCGTAGAGCTGAAAATGAAGAGTTCATTCTTTTCCCTTTGTGTATTCTCAGTGTATTCTGTTGCCCCCTTTTTTGAGGGGTCTTTGTTTTCGTTCAACCACCTTCTCACTGGTCCTCCGTACTGCTTGTTGGGCTTGTGCTTCGCAGCTCTGGCATTTGTGACGGCTCGTAGCATAGCTCTGTACAAACGGCCTCTCGACTTGTAACCATTTCAGTGTATCAAGACTTCTTATCGGACCTCATCTTACTTGTTTGATCTTATTCATAAAAACACCCATTCGAAACTCTTAGGTTGTGTGTTGGGCCTACGAGTTGAAGGGAATAAACCTCAACAAAAGATAACTAGCTAAATGATAATTTAAGCTCAGAAATGAATATCAGTTCAAATACTTCATTTCACCATATATCAGAAATGATTTTAATTATAATTCCTTCTTTTTTGAAATGAAACTGAAATATTCTATTAAATCAAACCCTCAGTATGTAAATGAGAGACAATACAATAAGAAAAATTACCAACAATATAATAACCATTCGACACCAACCTTCCTCTAACCAACACTAACCATAAATCCACCGGCCCCCTCAAAAAGAGCGAGACTGATCACTGAACACGTGAGAACTTCGAGGCTATTAGCGGATGAGTCAACTTGGTTTCCTCTAACCAACATAAATATAGTGATCTAGAGCAACAGGAGCAAGGAGATGGGCCAGAAGAAAGGGGCCCGAGACCCAAGCCCATATTGGTCTACCGAAGTCCACTTCCGTGGGCTGGGTTATACACTTATACATGGGCTGAGATATTAATTTTAATTAGTTTCATTTATGTTGTTTCTTTTATTATTGCGGTATTAGGATTCCAGTTTAAGGCTTGGTGCGCAAGTCTTGTTTCCAAATAGAACTTAGGATGCATGCAATTATTTAGCTTTAGTAGTTTGCTACTGGAACTGTTGGTGATTTTAGTATCACCAGGTTCATTTTAGTGTAATGGAATTTACAGATTACCAATGGAGTTCAAGTTTAATTTTAGACAAGTTAGGAGGTGCGGAGCACACACTTGTACGAAATTAAATTTAAACTTGGTTCGATTAAATGGCGGGGGTCAAGGGGGCTGCGCTCCCTTGCGGGGTCCAAGGGGCAGCGCCCCGGACCAAAATTTTATTTTATTAAAGAAATAAATATGGAAATTTATTTTCGGATAAACATGTCCATATTAATTATTTAATAGAATGACTTTCTGTTAGAGTAAAACTCTAACTGGTTGGCCTTATCTCTTTGGTAATCAGAAGAATTCGAGTTCTACAAAAACCGCTAGTTCGTGGTCTATATATTGGTGCCTCAGTTTTAGATTGTCTTTTAGAGTGATTATCCCCATAATCTAAATTTCGTGTAACCCAGGCATAGGGTCGAAATATTAGATTCGGAAAGTGATCACACGATACTCTGAGAAATCCGCCAGATTTTCTAAAACAATTTCCCAACTCCCCAGATTCAACAGGAACTTGGTTGTAAATGGGTATTATATATACCCTACGCAGGGCTTTTCAGGAGGTTATCAATAAAATTCATATTTATTAGCTAAATTAGCTTGGGCAACGGATTAATCGTTGGTTGGAAATTTTCAGTGATATCATATAGCGACTTCAAAGGGTAGAAGGCTTATACGGACTATTTGATTTAATTATAATTTCTTCAAAAACTTTTTTTTTTACAAATGTACTACTCAGAGAAGGGTTTCCTCTCCTTCCACTCCAACAACTTACCTTTACCTTCAAAACCTTGCCCTCCTTTCCCCCCAAACTCCCAAACATACTCTTAGAGTTCTAGCAAGTGAGCAATATAAACTTTTATGTTTCTCATATTCAACAATCAAGATAGATCTGTTACAAGATCTTAAATTAATCACAATGAACTAGGGATGGATTCGGTTTGGGCCACCCGGCCCGTGACCCAGCCCGGCCCGGTACTGTGGGAGCCAGGGACCGGCCCGGTCGGGCGGTCCGGGACCGGGTATGGGCCCGAACCGGTGGGAAGGGGCGGAGCGGGCTCGGTTCAGCATTATTGTGACCCGGCCCGGGTCCGGTTCAATTTTAAATTTTTTTTTTTTGGTTTGGGCTCCTACTAGCCGTTGGGGGTGGGGCTGGGGACAACCCAAACGGCTATATAGCCGTTGGGTGGGGTAAAGGGGGGGTTCGGGGGGGTTGGTGGTGGGGGGGGTGGTGGTGGGGGGGGGGTAAAAAAAACCTATAAATACTCCTAATCTTAAACATTTTTTCATATCTCTTCTCCAATTCTTCCTAAATCCTATTCTTATCTCTCTACTCTCTAATTCTCTTATTCTCCAATATATTATATATCTACTCTCATATTCTCTTCTCCAAGAAGTTAAGATGGAAAATCAAAATGTCATTATACGGTATAATTTTGATAAGCAGAAGGACCCGAAGACCGGGATGTGGTACGCAATTTGCAAATAGTGCGAAAAAAATGTATCATGGGGGCTTCAGGCGGATTCGGGATGGCAATCAAGCATATGAAGTCATGTGACAAAGCCAAAGGATCGGGAGGTGCAGGAAGTTCCGATTGATTACAATTTTCAAAATGTTTATCTCTTAAAGTTTGTTTTAATTTTCAAATGTAGTTCCTATTTCATTTCAAATAAATGCAATTGAAGTTTGTTTTTAATACTCGTATAAAACTATAAACTATAAAATATAAATTATAAAAAAAAAAAAATTAACCGGCCCGGCCCGAACCGGACCCGACCCGTGACCCGGGCGGGTGGCCCGGACCGAACCGGACCCGTCCAACCCGCGGGCCGGTCCCGGGCCCACTTTTCTTGAACCGGCGGCCCGGCCGGGCCTAGGCCCGGCCCGGCCCGGCCCCGACCCGGCCCGAATCCATCCCTACAATGAACATCACTGGAAAAAACATTGTCAACATACAAATACAGAACAGCAGAGTATTAATAATGGAGAGTATTCTGTCATTTCTTCAAACTAAAAATGTCATAAATACTTAGCTTCTGTATTATTAAGGGAAAAAGAAAGAAAAAATGAAAAATGATCCATCACAATGTTTCATCCTTCAGCCAGTCGACAGCTTGCATTATCATTATGTGAACAAATAGGCAACAAGGCGTGTGCTAAATCCAAACGTCAATGCAGCGAGATTGGGAATTTATTCTTTCCTCCATTCAACAAATTCTTATAAAAGTTTGCACTAGAAAGAACAAAACCTTGAAATTTCAAGTGCCCCCATAGAACCATCATATTCTCTACATCTATGGATCATGGATGCAACACACAATTCATAACAAAAGTTTTGACCATAAGGTAAATTGGCTGCAAGATTTACTCCAGATAGCAACACATAAGCAACTAGTTCTGAGTTTCTTGGCAAAAAAAAAAATACACAAAAATCACTTGAACTGGCTGCTATATAGTTTATATAACATCATCCTCTCTTGCTAGTAGTAGTAATAGTAGTTATTCTTTCATGTGTTTTCTATCTACGCTACTCTAGACATTATAAGTTCAATGCAACATTTCTGAATCATCATGCTCCTCTAGTCCATTTACTCAGCTCATTTCACGCTCCTGCAATACAAATAAAAGATTTATAAACACATAGAAGTAGAATTTTTTCAAAGAAAATAACAAGTTCATTTGTGAAAGACGAGATGTGTTACTAGTAGAACACAGAACGAATCAAGATTTTAGTTTTACGAGTAGCATCAAAATAGTTATTAAATTTGATTTCTTAATATCTGGTTAGGTAAAACATCGTTATGAATAGGGGTAGCCCAGTGCACATTGGTATCCCTCCCTGCAAAGCAAGGGTCCCAGGATCATTCCCACCACAAGGGTGTGGGGTCAAACCTACCCTTGTCATTTTCACAAGAGGCCGCTCTCAAGACTTTTGAACTCATGACCAGTCGGTCAAATACCAACACCTTAACCAGTACACAAAGGCTCCCTTTCTAAAACATCACTATGAATCCCGAAAAGAAATAGAAGAAACCCCAGTTCGTAGATACATGAATGAGTTAAGACAAACTAATGTGATCACTTAGCATATTAGCGAGTGTAAGGGATGTCTTATTTTCAAAGAATAAGTGCTGTTTCATTGGATAAAAAGTGTTTCTGCTTTTAAAAGAATCATGTGGAGGGTGAAAGGAAAAAGTGTTTTTTTAATTCTAAAAAACATTTCCAGCTTATTATGGAAGTGAGGAACGGAGTGGAGATTTCTGTTTATTATTATTATTCGAAAAGAGCAGTTTTTGTGCTTAAATGAGAATACACTTCTTAAATAGGTTCTAAGTCTATGAATAGCAGCTATTCCATGTATCCATGTGTCAAATTTGCAAAATGGGCAGATCATTGAATTTGTTATTATTCCACAAGCTGATGCTACTCCTGCTGGCACAACTAATCTGCCCTTTTTAACAGCGGGAAAATGCCGTCCAATGATCAAAATGATAGCAAGGTTGGTCCAAGTAAATAGTGAACCATTAATAATTCAAAAAAGAAAACAAATATCCCTTTCTCTAAAAAAATCCACTTCTCTACTGAATGCTATGGAACATTGTTAATATCCACCATGAAGCGTTTTTGCTGTATGTATTGCATCCAACATCCCTTTTAATGTATTGTATTTAACTACATATCTATCACACACACATTGGTCATCCGGAAACAGTCTCTTTATGCTTTAGTACATGGGCTAAGGCTGCGTACATCCGACCCCCTTACCCCACCGTGGGTGGGAGCCTTTGTGGCACTGTGGTGATGATGATGATGATGAAGATGATGATCAATCACACACACACAAGAAACATCACTAATAATTGATCTGTAAAACTACTATCAAGGTTTTGCTCAAGTGAAAACCCACAATATTTCCAATCTAAGTTGTTTCTAAATCAACACTATAACCTTTTTTTATTAATGTCTCCTGCCCTCTTGTCATAATCATAGAACCAGCAAATGAAATAAATCAAGAACCAAATTTAATTTTGCAGAGCAAGTAAACAGCTTGAGCACCCTGGTTTAGTTTTAGCAGGAAAATTGTAGCACTGTACCAAAAAAGGAAAAATGTAGCACAACAAAGTATGAAAATAAAAATCACAAGTTTCAAACTAAAAAGAGACTTCAGACCTAAGGGCTAAGTCCCTGCTCATCTCAACTTTGACATATCAGAACCCTAATCCAATTTAAAATAAATATAAATGAATCCGACCTGAAATTATCTATCGGATCCTTTGAACAAGTCAAGCAAGCCACAGCAACCCTTCCAAGATGTTTGCACTGGTCGTACATACAAACCATTTTGAGCCTACATAGTAAAAAAGAAACTTTAGATAATATACAAAGGCAAATTATATTCTCCTATGTCTAAACAACACCAACCTTAGGGCTCCATTTGGTCGCAGAAATATAACTTGTACAATATTTTTTGTGCATAATATAATGCTTGAATTCCATCATTCGCAAGAGAGCCAAAAACTCACTATTTTTTGGCATAGGAATATGATGGAATAAAGCAAAACGGCTCACTAGACTGTATGTGCTTCTTTCTTATGAAGCAACACAAGCCCATGCAATTTTTGACGTGATTTTCACCTTGGGTCATCCGGAAACAGTCTATGTGCTTTACTACATGGGTAAGACTGCATACATCTGACCCCCCTTACCCCACCGTAGGTGGCAGCCTTTGCGGCACCGGGGTAATGATGACGATGATGATGATGATGATATAGTGCTTGACGCATAAAAATATATAAACATAAATGTCAAGAAAGGACATTCATATATGAAAATGGGAAGTTCCAATATTCAGGGAAGTTCAGCGAATCACAGAAAACTTTCCAGAGCCAAACACAATAAAATCCAGAAAATATTTTTCTTGAAGACAAATGGAGCCTTGCGACAGTCAACAACCAGAAACTTAGAAATAAGCGGACCTGACTATCCGATAACTCTGAAAGCTTAGAATCTTTAAATGGATCAGCTTCAATTTTGGGAGCATTGTATGACAGAGTTAGTATATATCCACCCTCTTCATCAGTGGCGGCATAGTCCTCTGGTTTTGACAGTCTAACTTTGTCCTGAAGCAATATTCGGACAGCTTCATCCTCCCTTTGTCCTGTCCCACTGTCTCCACAACAATAAACTGACGGAGTTACTTTCTCCCCATTTATTTGAATTGCAAAATCCATTAATGCTTCCGCATCACCCTTAAGGGATGTCTGAACAACTTCATCCTCCTTGTTGCTCAACTCCATTTTCACTAAACCTTCTGATAGAGAATCATCCTTATGAACTCCTCCCGCATTTTCCTCCATGTTTTCCACCACCCCAAATCCATCATTCTTTTTAATGTCTGCTTCATTTTTAAAAATTGAAGCCTTGTCCAAGTCATAAGTAAACACTGTCCCTATCGCATCATTTCCTTTACCAGCAGATATATAATCCATTTGTTTCTCTAAACCAACTACCACAATATTTTCCTTATTGGCAGGATGGGACTCATCAAAATTGAATTCCCTCCTTGCATGATGATCACTTCCTTCTTCTATAGTTGGTGTCTCCATTCTGTCACCTTCATTTGTCACATTGTCAGGCTTGTGCTCATGAACCGTTGATGAGTGGTTATGTGAGCCATCATCGTCTTGCTTATCTACTTCTTCCTCCTGATCCATTAACTCATTGCAGTTATGATAATCTTGAGATGCAGGGGAACTAGCATCCCCACCATCGCTATCCTTGTCACAAGTATGGTCTAATTCTTCTTCCCCTTACATTTTTTGGTTCACCATCAAAATTTCAAGTTAGAAATAACAAAAAGCATCAATCAGGCAGCATTTGCATCAAATTAAAATTAAAAGTTGCAAACCAGAGATACATGCTCATCATTGTTGTTATCTGCACTTTTATCCCAGCTAGTTGGGGTGTTGGCATTAAATTTATAGCATCAATTATTTGTCTATAATTAGTTAAATCTAAAAATTAATGCAAAAAAAGCACAGGGTTAATGTTTTGCGCACATCCTTCATGTCATAAGCTTCTTAGGATGTAATGAGATAAATTCCCGAACGGCGATCAATTCATCATCAAGGGTTATTTCCAAGATACACATACTCATTCAATTTTACTACCTGTTAGAATGGTGACATGAAAATGCAGCAAGAATAACTTAAAACTCCTATCGTTCCACCAAGACCATAGCAATCAATACAAGAAAATCTCCGTAGCCCGTAGGTATAAATGTAGAAAAAGGAATGTAAAAAATAGGCACACAACCTATCAGCTTTTAAAACTTAATTAGGTCAGATGATATAGCCACTAGTTATTTTTCAGCAAAAGAAGCTTGCTTTAATTAAAACAGTAAAATTAAGAGATACCCTGGGATCCAAATTGAGGTACAAACGAAATGCAAAGGTCTTACACGAAAGAAACTGATTGAATTGAAACCAATACCGGAAATACCTCCAATAACCTTAAATGGCAAATCTTTACGCATATAGACAATTAGCATTAAGCCGTGTACCCTATAGAGAGGACAGACTATAGAAGATTAGAGGGTACCATGAGTATGAGGTTGTGTGGAGTTGGGCGCCACCTTAACTTGCAAACCCTTCCTTTTCTTGGCAGCTTTTCGCTTCTTAGCACCTGAAGGCATAGCTTCTGTGTCGATTCTTTGAGACTTTGACGCTAGATTATTGTTCTATTGGCAAAGGATCGTAGATTATCTTCCCACCCGCTCTGAAGATTCAGGAAATGAAAATTTTTCCTCAGATATTCTTCTGCGAGTTCAAATTTGAAATCTGGGACTAGAATGGTCCAGCGTACAGAAAAAGTCAAATATTGTCCTTTTTCATGTAAGCTATCAGCTCGACAAAATCCGAGTCTGATATACGGACATAAATTTGTATTTGATCTCAACCGAACAAGTTTATTACTCCGTATTAAGTTGATGTCGTAAGTTGTAACTTGTTAATTTATTATTATTATAATAAGAGCATGAATATTATGAATGTTTTTTTTAAAGGACAATGAGTGTATTAAAGAGCTTTTTCCTTGAATATTATGAATGTTTTTTTAAAGGACAATGAGTGTATTAAAGAGCTTTTTCCTTGAATATTACTAATTCGAAAAATGTGATCATTTTCACAAAAGTACAAAAAAGTGATTAAAATGTCACATATTTGGAAAAATTTGATGTCATTGTCATTTTTTTTGTCACTGTCGGATTTTTATGTCACTACCAAACTTTTATAAAAAAAAAGGATGACACCTCATCCCTGAGGGTCCCCCAACCCCGACCTGACGGTACATTGGGAGGATGTAAATTGGACTATAATCCCAATCTGACAGATATAAAGTGAGGCTCTGTCACCGGTACTTGCAGAGGGTCTATGCATTTTTAGCATAGTAACCCCTCATCGCAGTTGCCGGGATTCGAACCCGGGACCTAACCCTTGTGGCACTCTCTTGCTACCAGTTGAGCTACGCCCACCGGTACTACCAAACTTTTATGTCACTTTTGAAATGTAATTATCAGTTTTCATGTCACTTTCAGATATCACTATACAGGAAAACGTGTCACTGTTAATAGAATATTATTAAGCTATTTGTTTCCTAATATGTTTATAACTCTTTTATTATAAATATACATGCTAAGACTTCTGTGGGAGTACCTTCCGAGTTTATTCACATGTATCTGGAGGTTAGGTTTACAAAAAAAATCCGCTGCTTCTCTCCCCTAAATTATTAGCCGCAGCCCTTCACTGTACAACCTGCGGCTATGGCCTCTGAAATTTCTTCAACGCACCACATAGGCCAGCCCTCATCTTCCGATATTGAAGTCTCACCCGTCTCTACTGCAGCTGTCACGGCCAGGTTCTCCACCGGTGCCATCTCCTCCATGATGATGCAGCCGGCTTCCTCCTCTGTAGTGCACTCAACTGCAGAGCCATTCTCATCCTCTTGGACTGTGCCGAGCACCTACAGTCTCTTTAACAATCTGCCGCCTCAAGTTCCATGGCAGTCCGCTCCGGTTCAGACTCCTCCAAGTTTATGGCAGCAAGTTCTGCCTCAATCCTCTCCGGTGCAAGTTCAATCTTCTCAAGCTCCATGGCCAGTTGTTCCTCCGACAATACCATGTCCGCCGCCGCCAGTCAGCACCCAGTTCTTCGACCCCTCCTTTTTTGAAAAATGCAGTTAACTTCAACGAATTATTTGAGCTGAAATTTGGTATGTATAAACTAGACTTGATGAGGAACATGATCAAAAAATTTCATCAAAACATTCCACCAGGAACCGCCCCAAACGGCGGTGTTCGAACGGCGTTCGGACCGGGAGATGCTGGACCTCAGAATTTTCCTATATATATATATAGGGAAGAGTTCAAATAAAAAGACATCTTCCCGTGCAAAGTGCGAAGATATGCACTTTGGCATGTTTCGCTTGCACTTTTGCGTGTTTCTGTTGCACTTTTTCGCGGTAACGAAAAAGTGCAACATATTTACGAAATTGTCACTGCGGTTTTGGTCGAATTTTGTGCATTTTTGGCCCATTTTGAGCCATTAGATGTGGAAATGAATGCACAAAATTCATTCTCACTTTGCATGGGAAGAAGTCTTTGTATTTGAACTATCTCCTATACATATACATAAGGGAAGAGTTCAAATAAAAAGACATCTTCCCGTGCAAAGTGCGAAATTTGCACTTTTTTATTTTCATTTTCACTTTTTTGTATTTCCGTTGCACTTTTTTGACATTGCGATTTTGGCCAAATTCGGCCAAAACCACAGTGGCAATTTTGTAAATAAACCAATTTTTTTCGCTGACGCGAAAAAGTGCAACGAAAACAAGTAAAAGTGCAAGCGAAACATGAAAAAGTGCAAATTTCGCACTTTTGCACGGGAAGATGTCTTTTTATTTGAACTCTCCCCTATATTATGATTCAAATAAAAAGATGTCTCAACGTGCAAAGTGAAAAGTTTATACTTTTTCATGTTTTGCTTGCACTTTTTCTTGCTTTCATTACACTTTTTCGCGATAGCTCAAAAAATTGGTTTATTTACAAAACTGCCACCGTCATTTTGGCCGAATTTGGCCAAAATCAAAATGGGCAAAAAGTGCAACGCAAACAACAAAAAGTGCAAGCGAAACATGCAAAAGTGAAAATTTTGCACTTTGCATGAGAAGACCACTTTTCATTTGAACTCTTCCCTATATATATAGGGAAGATCTCATGTAAACCAAGCTTCTGATGCAAACCTACAAACCAACAGCATCCGTTGGATTGAGAAATTTGGATGGTCATGTGTATGACATCCATGGTAGTATTCATGGGTTGAGATGTAGCAAATTAAAATTCTAAGACCCACTACCGTATTAGAATTAGTTGCAAGGCTAATAAGGTCATCTTAAAACCTATTTCCGTTGAATTGTTGTCAACCTTCCACTAACCAATTAATTATCTAAATATAAGCAATTCATAGAAGGTAAGTGGCAGTCAAGCTAAATTCCAGAATTGATCCTAGCCATAAATTGCAAAATAACTTACCTTTTGTGTAATTAATTATTGATCGTAACATTTACAAAAATCAATCTCTTAATTCATAGATTGATCAATCGCTCCTTAATAAACTTCAATTTTTGAAACCTTGCTCCCATTTCATGAGAAGTGCATATTAAGATTATGATATGTGCATTGTATAATTATAATGTTGCCTATGATAATATTTGTACAATAAATTCCTTTATTTACGAAATTAATCACTTCATAATTATAACGTATGCATATTAGTGATGCATAGATGCACTTTTAGTCACATGATGTGATTATTATTTATGTGATAGTTGTCATATTGAGCCCATTAATTATTACGTTGCACTTTGGAAGTCCATATACTGCATTTTATCATTATGACAAGTGCATTCATTTTACAACCATTTTTGAAATTCGTATGTTGAACTGTATCATCATCACATGTTCACTTTTAGAAGTTCATACGAAGTATATAGTATTTCAGTAAGAGGACATTTGCATCTTAGGAGACCATATGTTGCATCTTATTGCTACGGCATCTTAAAAATTTGTACTGCATCTTACTACTTTGGCATCTGCAGCTTAGTAGTTCACATGTTGCATTTTATCATTGTGACATGTGCATTCATTTTACAGTGATTTTCAAAGTTCATATGTTGCATTGTATCATCATCACATGAATGAAGTGGATTTCTTATCTAGCTTCTTTAATCTGAAGAAGCCCCAGGTTGTTCATTGGAAGAAGCCAGAGCCTCCGGTGGTTAAGCTCAATTGGGCGATATTTCGGCAGACTGGGAGATCAGCGGCCGGGTTCTTACTACGGGACCATGCGGGAGCTATGGTTGCAGCAGATGGATTCCCTTTGAGTGGTTCTTCAGGGCGACACGAAGCGGGTGGTAGCGATATGACCGAGATGGAGTTGGAAGGTTTCAGACAGATTTTGGATAGAGTAAAGTCTCTTAATTATCCTCAGGTAAGTGTTGATGTCGGTGAAGAGCAGTTAATAGATCGATGTGCTTCTTGCGCGGCCCAGTTTCATTTCGTGACCCAGGTTTGTTTTTTTCCAACCCAGGCAAATGCGGCTGCAAGTGTCGTTGCTAAATTGGGCTGGACGGAGGAGTTCACTTGGCGGGTCAGAGATCCGATGCCTAGAAAGCTTAGTGGTGCAATCAGTTTGGATGCTAAGTCTGTCCCTCATATTGTTATTTAATCTTCTTTTTGATGAGATTCTTTTTTAGCAGAGAGATTTCGGTTTGGCCCCCCTCTCATATATATATATATATATATCGCGCGCGGAGGGGGGGGGGGGGGGCATGGCCCCTCAGGCCTCTATTACGACTCCCCTTGGCACCAGGTCCTGAACATCCTAACGCAAAAACTATTTGAGATATTTACTCCTCCACTATTTAATTGGTCAGGGTGTGAGGCGTGTGAAGTAGGTCATTCCACTTTTCAGTTGTAGTTTAATAATTACTACCTCCGTTCCGTCGGAAGGTTCCCATAGCAAAACGACACGGTTATTTAGGTAATAATAATTAAATAAAGTACTTCGGGCATATTTTGAGAAATAATTTTAATAGGTATATATTATAATGTAGTTAGTATTGATAATTGTGATGTTATAATATATTATTTTAATATTTAATGATTAATTAGTCACTTATGATTGTTAGTTGTTTCCTAAAATGGAAATGTGAACCTTTATATGAGACGTCCAAAAAAGGAAACTGAGAACCTTGTGATGGAATGGAGGGAATAGTTAATTAATTTATGAGATGTACATTTCAACAATTGTCCGACCTTGCATGCACTAAAGATCTCATGGTTTTCTTTCTTGATTATTTATAAAGTTACATGGATGAATTACGAATTTTGACTTGGACTGAGATTTTCTGGTCTAATCTAGTGTGAGCTGGTGTGGTCTAGTAAATGTCTGATCTATGTGTATTTTACAATTGTCGAAGTCTAGTCTGGTCTGGTCTGAACTTATCTGGTCTAAATTAGTCTGCTATGGTTTGATCTAGTTTGGTGCTTTGGTCTGGTGCTCTGTTCTAGTCTGAAACTGAAACAAGTTCAAGTAAACATATTCATAGGATGATTACTTTTGAATTAAAATTTGTTGGTCTAGTCTGGTCTGATCTGGTCTGTTTAAGCTTGGTCTGGTCTAGTCTGAGGCTCTGAGCTGGTCTGGTCATGTCTGGTAAATGTCGGTTCTTTGTGTATTTTACAAATGTCCAAGTCTAATTTGTTCTGTTCTGTTTGAGTCTGATTTGGTCTGCTCAGATCTGTTCTAGTCATTGTTCTTTAATACGTACCTACACATTAGTTAGGTAGCCCAAATGTGGATCATTAAGGATGTTTTTAATTGAATTTAAAATTTCTGATCGGTCTGTTTAAGTCTAGCCTAGTCTGCTCCGATAAATATCCAATCTCTATATATGTTATAAATGTTGAAGTGTGGTATGATCTGTTTAAATATGATATGATCTAGTCTGATCTGTTTAATTCTGATCTATTATAATCTGGTCAAATCTGGTCTTGTTTCGGACTAAATATAGTCAAAATAAATACAAATTTTTCAGACACTGTATATTGAATACACACATAACATGGTGGAATTTGAAATTTTAAATTCGATATTCCGACCACGCACAAAGCCACAAATATGGCATTATATTCATGATATGATGTCATTGAAATGAAATGCCACATTTGTTCAAATTCGATATCGTTGTCTTGATCCAAAAAGTGGTAGAGTTTATGTTAGTCGCCATGTCGAGTTTCATGAAAATATATTTCCATATTCTCAATTAGTGTCTCATAATGTTTTTGACCAGTCCAGTTTGCAACCTTGTCCATTGTCCTTCACCATGTCCTCACTGCCACCTTCTAGCCCTACGGTCAACAAGTATCTCCCGTGCGGTTTTCTATGGGCATCACGTCTGCTTCTTCATCACCGACAGACAGCTCCCTGGGCAGCTCAATGCAGGCCAAAGATGAACTGTCAGCTCAACCAGCTTCTTCGATGTCGGGTTCTAGTCCGATTTCACCAACTGGGACTGTTCCGATATCACATGGTTCGCCAGTGGTCCCTGAGTCGGCTGAGTGTTCGTCCTCTGTGAGTGATGCCGTTAGTGACAGTCCGCCATCCCCTAGTCCTTTAGTACATAACATTCATCCCATGCAACCTCCCTTCAAGTCAGGAATTTTTAAACCAAAAATGATTTTTAATTTGAATACTATGGTTTTGGTTCCTGATCCTACTTGTTTTTCTATGGCCAATAAAGATTTTAAATGGAGAGCTGCAATGGCTGAGGAATTTAATGCGTTTATTGCTAATAAAACATGGGAGTTAGTGTCGTTTGACTCTAGCAAAAATGTGGTTGGGTCTAAATGGATTTATAAAACTAAATATATGTCTGATGGTTTTATTGAACGCCATAAAGCATGTATGGTTTCCCAAGGGTTAAAACATAACATTAAACAACAAGCTATGGTTGATTTTTCTGAAACCTTTAGTCCCGTTGTTATACCCACAACTGTTCGGATTGTGCGTCAGTTGGATGTCAAAAAAAAACCTTAGTTGTTTCATATAATTGGATTACACGTCAGTTGGATGTCAAAAATGCTTTTCTTTAGAGGAAGTTTATATGTGTCAACCATTCAGGTTTGTTTATTCACAATTTCCTAATCACATTTGTCGCTTGCGCAAGGCCATCTATGGTCTCAACAGGCTCCCCACTCTTGGTTTTATCGTTTCAGCAGTTTTCTTTTAACCCATGGTTTGTATGTAGTCGTGTTGATAACTCTGTTTATTTTCATTTAGACTATTCGCATAATTTATTTGCTCTTATATGTGGATGATATCATTGTCACTGAAATTCCTCTTCTCTTATTAGTCATTTTGTTTTTCTATTTGGGAAATATTTTGTCATGAAAGAGTAAGGGGATCTTCATTTTTTCTTGGGAGTTTGATCGGACTGTGAGAAATTCATCCGGTTTATTTTTATCTCAAGCCAAATATGTGTCAGACCTACTCACCCGTTTTCATCTTCATACTCTTAAGTCTGTTTGCATGCCTCTCCCTAGTAGAACCGAACTTTGTTTCACTGATGGTGAATTACTTATTAATCCTACATAGTATCGTAGCATGGTAGGTGCATTGTAGTATTTAACTATGACTAGACCAGATATTACATATGTTGTTCACTTGGTGTCTCAATTTATGCATGCTCCACGTACTTCACATTTGTTGGCTACTAAGAGAAATTATTTTCAGGTACCTCCAGGGGACTATCACACATGGGTTACACCTACATCCATCAACCCATCCCCATTCCGTTCTAGCATAGTCTGATGCTGATTGGGCAAGTTGTCCTGATAGTAGCCGATCCACACCTGGCTATGCTGTTGTTTGGGTCCTAATCTCATATCCTGGCGATCCAAGAAGCAACCCATTGTTTCCAGACCATCTACAGAAGCTGAGTATAGAGCCATTGCATACACGGTTCAAGATACTTTACACATACGGTCCATTTTGTTTGAGTTTGACTTTCCTATTCATCGACATGTGTGTCTACTGTGTGATATGATAATGTACCCGCCTCACATTTGACTGCTAATCTCATTCAACATGCTCGTGGTAAGCACATTGATATTGATTATCACTTTGTTCGGGAACATGTGGCTCATGGAGATCTTCCGATACAATATGTTCCAAGAAAGTTTCAGTTGGCTGATATTTTTACCAAAAGTTTTGCTCCTCAACAGTTTTTATTTTTGAGTCAATCTACGTGTAGTTCCTCCTGCATAGATTGAGAGAGGGCCGATGTAATAGTGCAGAATTAATGATTAGTCAGTATCCTAATTCTATTTGGAACTTATTTCATTATAAATGATGGGATATTAGGGTTCGGCCCAATATACCGGCCCAAAATATCCCCAGGGCCCAGGGAACGGGAAAGGCCCAAGGAGAAACGGATGGCCCCAAATGGGAATTCGGTGGCTTAAGAGATACTTCCGTTCAGCACATCCTGAACGGAATGTAATTAACACTTGGACAATTAGTGTTCTTCTGGATCATTAGCTTAGCGGATCTTAATACCGATCGGAGATTTGCTCAAGTGGCAGGCTGCATTTAATTCTGGAGTATAGAAGTCTCAAGTGGGAGCATGGGTGCACAAGTGGCTTGGAAAGCAGCCAATCATGATAGATCACCCCATACCCCCACCTACCCCAGTTAGTATAATTAGCAGCATTTATTTCATTGTAAAGGGTTAGCATTTGTTTACTCACTAGATTATATTGCATTCTAGCTCTTGTATTAGCATTTGGACCGTAATTGCTGTTTTCGTGTAATTGTTATTACTGCGTTAATACAAGCAGAGCTATTTAAGTGCATCAATCGGTTTTTATATTTGTTTATACACTTTACTGTAGCATTCGAACCCTAGATCCAAGGTTGGTGTTGGGCCTTCGGGTCATTCGGGACTTAAACTCAACATTGGCGTCATTTGTGGGAACCAAACTAAAAGTTCCAAAGCAAAACATTGATCTAAGCAAATTCCACACGTCAACATGGTTAGAATCACTTCTGAGAACACTCATGGTACTTCCAGAGATCAGGAGAACAGCAGGTCCTCCAGATCCTGGAGAACAGAGAGTCGTACTACCGGCGAGCGAAACCAGGGATATGACGGGGACTTCACTCACCTGATCCCAGAAGCAGCAAAAAGAAACATGCGACTCGTGCGGGAAATGGCGGATGTTATGTGCCGAATGGCTGAAACGCATGAAGAAGGATACTCCACGTATACCGGGGATATTGACTATACTACCCCATCACCGATCCACAACATGCAGTCATGGGACGAGTATACTGAGGAAACAGAATCGACCAGGGCCTCGATGCACTCACGGATGGGGCACATGAATCACAGGAGGGCGCACACTCCCATATACCAATAACGTACTCCTTCTCGGCAAACCCAGTACACTCACAGGAACGAAGCCCAGTTCAAGGAACAAACCCCGGTGATAAATCTGGAGGGTCAACATTTCAATTATGAAGAATGAGATGGAGAGCGCTTCATCAGGAGACGCCAAGGTGCGACCATACCCCGAACAAAAAAGACCCCCGGAGAGGATCGATCTTCTAACTCCTCCCCGAATGGCCCAGGATGAGGCCCTGACCGCTTTACAGAAGCAAATTGACGAGCTCACTCGTCAACAAAACAAGACACCCCACCACCCCGTGTGGTGATCACATCCCCCTTTACAAGGGAAATAATGGAGGTAGAGATTCAGAGGAATTGCAGGCCCCCGGTCGGGCTTATCTACAACGGAGCTGAGGATCCAAACACACACTTGATGAGTTACCAGGGAGGACTTATGCTTCTGGGGGCTTCAGAGGAGGCCATTTGAAGATTGTTTTTTAGCACGCTCCGGGGACCCGCTCAGGAGTGGTTTAGTTAGCTACAACCGACTCGATCGAGAGTTTTGCTGAACTGTCTACCTTATTCTTGGCACAATTTGCATCGAGTGCCACCCCGAAGCGGCATTTCAGCTATCTTACCAGTATCCGCCAGGGGCCTAAGGAATCTATCACCCAGTTCTTGACTAGGTGGAGGGATGAGACATTAAAGGTCGAGAATTTGACGGATTGTACAGGGATCACTCTATTTACAAATGCTCTCCAAACCGGAGAGTTGTACAAGGACATGAAGAAAAACCCGGGGACCAGTTATGCTGAGGTTCTAGAACGGGCACGGAAGCATGCGGTTCTCGAGGAAGAGATCACGATTAGGGACCGAACGGCCCCACATGTATCCTCAAGGTTGGCCGATCGGCTGGGTCCTATCCCAGCGGCCACAAATATTCCAAAACAAACCCGGTTTACCCCGTTTGTCATCCCCATTGCGACCATCTTCTAGAACGAGAAGGATGTGATTCCCCCCTCCAACAGACACAAAGACGTACATGGGGCGCGATGATGCCCATTTTCAGTACCACAAAAGAAAGGGGCATTCCACCTAAACATGCCGAGCGTTTTAGATAGCTATCGAAGAACTGATCCAGCAGGGTCACTTAGGGAAGTATGTAAACAGGGACCCAAAAGCCGTAGGCCTCCCTCAAAACCAGTACAAAAAAACCAAAAGTTGGAGGAGGAATAATCAGAGAGACGCTGAACCAAGGAAAGATGTGCACATACCGAACAATGAAGCTGAAGGATCGGGGAATCAAGGAAAGAGGCCTAGGTTAGAGATCAAAGTGATTTTTTGTGGAGGCGAAACCAGAGATACGGCGGCTGAACGAAAGAGGTTCGAGCGAAGTCTGCTTGTGGCAGCCATTTCCAACCCACCACTAAATAAGGCCAGGTTTGAATCAATCACGTTCGGTCCTGAGATCCTGCCTCCATCGCCAAGTCCGCACAGGGATGAATTGGTGATTAGTATGTGTGTTGACAACGCCCTCATCCGCCGAGTGTTGGTAGATACAGGGAGTAGTGTAAACGTTCTGTATTTAAAGACGTTTGAAAAAATGAAACTGAGAAGGGACCAGCTGACACACCGCTGGCAAGCTTCACTGGAAACTGCATCGACGTAGAAGGAACCATTTCACTTCTGGTCGAGATCGGGTATGAGACACACCGAGCGACAGTTCATATGACATTTGTGGTGGTAAATATAGAATGTACCCACAATGCCATACTGGGTCGACCCGGGTTGGAGAATTTGGAGGCAATTGCTTCAGTTCGGCACTTCTGCATCAAATTTCCAACTGACACCGGAGTTGGAGTGGCCCGAACAGACCCAGTTATGGCCCGAACAAGCTATCGGGAAGCAATAAAGAAAATTAATACCCGTGGCATGCGGGTTAACAACATTCAGGTGGAAGCACGACCAACGGAGTTCATAGCATGCCTCAAGCCAGCCACTTTGTTGGAGCATATTGAACTAGACTCACCTGCCGATCGGAAGGTTGCGATTGGAGTGGATCTAGATCTAGAAATTCGAGAAGGGGTGATCACAATGTTGAAAAGGTTCCAAATATTGTTCGCCCGAGCGCCGGAGAATATGTCAGGCATTGATCCGGAGATTATATGTCACAAGATGCCAGTTCGGCCTGATGCCAAACCATTACAACAGAAGAAGAGGTATCAGGCTACCGAACGGCGGGAGTTCACCAGGCAAGAAGTTGCCACCCTGTTGAAGATCAAGCACATTGGGTCAGTTATCCATGTGGAATGGTTATCTAATGTGCTCCTCACTCCAAAGGGACAGACTTGGAGGATGTGTGTTGATTATTCTGACCTAAACAAAGCCTTTCCCATGGACCCTTATCTGGTTCCTCAGATCGATCTGCTGGTGGATGAAACTGTGGGGTGCGAGTTGTTAAGCTTCATGGATGCCTTTCGGAGGTACCACCAGATTTTTATGCACCCGGAGGATGCGGAGAAAACAACATTTGTCACCTCGGACAGAGTGTTCTGCTATATTGTAATGTCATTCGGACTGAAAAATGCCATGGCCACCTTCCAAAGAATGATCAGTATGTTGTTCAGAGAAGTTCTGAGGGTCACCATGGAGACATATGTGGATGAAATCCTGATCAAGAGCAGGAGGAAGGAGGATCATGTTCGGGACATGGAAAAGGTCTTCGAGATCATGAAGAAAGAAAACATGAGGCTGAATCCCAAGAAATGTGCCTTTGCAGTTAAGGGGGGCAAATTCTTGCGATACACGATGAGCGAGCGTGGGATAGAGCCGAATCCAGAAAAAGTTAAAGCAATAATGGATATGGAGGCCCCAAGGAATCTGAAGGAAGTGCAAAGGTTGACCGGTCGGTTAGCTGCTTTGAGCAGATTCCTCTCCAAGCTGGCCGATCGGGCAATCCCGTTCTTTCAGATTATGAAGAAGGACACCCCGTTCACATGGACTACAGAATGTCAAACAGCTTTTGAGGAATTCAAAGCATATATGGCTTCTCCCCTGGTCTTGACAAAGGCTGATCCAGGGGAACATTTATACATGTATCTTGCAGTGGCCGATCTTGTCGTCAGCTTAGTGCTATTGAAGGAGACTGATGGGGTTCAGCGGCCAATCTATTTTGTCAGCAAGGCCCTGAACGGCCCTGAAACGAGGTAAACCCTGATGGAGAAAACTATTCTGGCCTTGATAGCTGCTATCAAACGCCCGACACCGTATTTTCAAGCCCATCCGGTCACAGTATTCACCACCCAGCCGCTTGCTACCATTTTGAGGAATCCAATGGCCAGTGGGCGCATAACCAAATGGGCCCTCCTGATCGGGCAATATGATGTAGAATTCAAGCCTCGGTCAACCATCAAGGGTCAGGCGTTGGCGGATTTCATCGCAGAATGCACCGCTCGGCCTACGGAGGATGGCTTGAACGGTGATATCACAGACAACTGGTGGGAAATAAATGTGGACGGGGCTTCCAGTGCTAAAGGTTGCGGGGGGTGGAGCTGTCAACACATCTCCTAAAGGGTTTAAGGCATATTATTCTATCTATTTTGATTTTAAAGTGACTAATAATGAGGCCGAATATGACGCCCTTATTGCAGGTCTGAAGTAAGCCAAAGCCCTAGGTGCAGAACGACTGAGAGTCCGCTCAGATAGCCAGCTGGTGGTTGGTCAGGTGAATGGAACTGTCGAAATGAAGGAGGAAATGAATGAAAGCCTACAAGGAACTGGACGAGGAACAGATTGGCAAGTTCGAACAAGTGACGTTTGATCAGATTTCCAGAATAGAGAACGCACATGTAGATATTCTGTCAAACCTTGAGAATGTTGCGCTGGACGATCGGGCCCAACTCATCCTTGCGCACATACAGTGGTTTGCCCATCGAGAAACATTGACAACACCTGCAATGATGGTCCTTCAGGTGGAGGCTATATCTTATGTCGTTCCTAGTTGGGTCACAGACATGACCAACTACCTGAAGGATGGGACACTCCCAGCAGACAAGAATTCAGTATACAACGCCAAATGCATTCAAAGGAGGGCACCTATGTTTGAGCTGGTAGACGGACCGATTTACAAGAAGACGTTCGGGGGGCCTTACTTAAAATGCCTCCTGCCCGGTCTAGCAGCAGCTGTGATGGAGGAAATCCACGAGGGAATCTTTTCAAGTCACCAGGGGCCGAAATTACTCGCTAGAAAAATCATCTTGCAGGGGTATTATTGGCCAACCATTCAGCAGGACTGCTTCGCCTGTCACGCCCCGGACCTAGCCGGACACGTCAACAACCCGCCGTACAGTACGAATAGTCAACCGCAATCCATCTCATCCATACTATACAAGGCGTCATGAATATCATTCACACATAGTACATCCATAAACAAACATAATGTA